TTTTTTTTTAATTAGAAGCAGATTACAGAAGTGAGTATTCGTTAGAATCCGGATATCTTGTTATTTTGAATGTGGCCTTCACTTGTGCTGACAATAACAAAAAAAAAATGTTTTCTTTTCACAGAAATCAGAGATTACTCTTCTTCCCATTCTACACCTGATGATCCCTGTTGACGCAGAAATGTACATCACATCTTTGTCCAGCCAGCGGGGATGTCCTATGAATTCAGACAGCAGTGTCATGTGATTAATCAGTCACAAAATTAAGGTCATTATGAATTGTGCTTTCTGCTCAACACTCTTGCTCACCTTTATAAACTCATTTACAGAGCAAATGGAAAATATTGTCTGAATTCCTGGGTTCCTTTCAAATCACAGATTTTGAAAATATATGTTTTTTTTTAAGATTTGAAAAATAGTTTGTTATAATATGTCAAAAAATGAATTCATGTTGTACATTAGAAGTACAGATCACAAGTCACAATCCAAGAATCCAAATTTGTAAATTGTAAATGATGAAACTGAAAGCACAATATAATTATTACTATAATGACAATGGGCATGTTTCAGCAGGCCAGGAGAAATTGTTTATCAGAAAAGTTAATGTGTGCCATATAGTGGCTTTTCCCGTCAATGAGATGTAATGGCTATATAATGTTTAATTTTGCTAATAAATTTCTCAAGATAACAATTTCTAAATCCAGTCTGCACTAAATCTCTATGTTTTTTAATGTTTTTTGATAAATAACAAGCAAAAACACATATACACACACATATACACTTGAACCTTTTTTGTATTGTTCCTTGTTATATTGTATGTGAAACCAACGAATACTTCATCCTTTCTGATATACTTCAGAGTATTTATACTATTCTTCATAAAATATTCATATTGCTATCGTAAGTACTTAATCTAAATTTCAGGGGATTTCCACTTTCAGTTTATGAAGGCGTTGTCTGCCAGAGCAGAGTCATTGTGAGGTATTCAAGGGTCTTTATACAGGATCAAATGTTTTTGAGCTGCATCCAAAAGCAAAGAATAATGTGGTAATGTTTCGCTTTCATTTGGCTGCAAAACTTACTTTCACTATTAGACGAGCCACTGGCACAGCTCACCTCAAAGCATCGGCCACACTTTACCTCACAGCTGCCATTTTGGACTAAATAATTGACATTTATAAATTAAATTCTCTTTTCAGCTGCTTCATCGCATGCCATTTATGCTTGTTACAATAACTGCACACTCAGTAGACAGTTGTTATGCAAATATTGTATTCGGCTGTGTCTTAGTGTCTTCCTACCTCCATACACTCTAAAAAATGCTGGGTTAAATATAAAGTTCAAAACAACCCAACCGCTGGGTCAAAACAACCCAATAGCTGGGTTTGTCCCTTTTTAACCCAGTGCTGGGTTATATTTAACCCAGCGTTTTTTAGAGTGTATACTGCTTGCAAAATCATTGTTTTTTTATTTTTCAGATGTATGTCAAAATATACATTTCGTTTTAGAAGAGTAGAACACATTGTGCTCAGTATAGGGAAACATTTCTTTTATGGTAGTATACTAGTGGTAGGGGTTGGGATCTGTTAATGGCATGTGTATATATATACAATCTCTTCCATATTATTTCCTAGTAACAAAGGAGAAGTGAGATGGAGATGTGGTCTCTTGATTTGTCCATGCACAGCACATTAGCAACCGTAGTTTTCTTCTGGAAAAATTACATGTGAAACTGTCCTCACCTGACCTGGGTAAAACTGGTTGTCCTTAAACACATTGTAGTATTAAACAGGCAAATGGAGTCCGCTGAGGGGACTTTTTTATCCAGGAACAAAAGCACAGATAATTGGCTTTGGTGTGGCAAGGAGGAAATGAAGCATTGAAATGAGCTTGTCTCGCGGCTGCTGTCCAGTCATGGTTCCATTTGAGGAGGTGCTGTTTCAGGTGAGAAAAGCTTTACAGGTCAGCCCTATCCTACTGCACGAGCTTCTCAGAGAGTTGCACGAGGCCAGCGTCTTCTCTACCCAGTATTACCAGTCTCTCTACAAGGATGGGGAAATTGGAGAGCAGCGTTTATGTGAAGTCTTTTGTAACGATGGAGAAGATCTGGCCAGAAGACTCTCGTTGCCTATGTGGCAAAACTGGGACATCAGCCAAAGCATCTTGGATTTGGCACTCTCCAAAGAGGAAGATTTGGTTCCTTCTGGTGAGTTAAATATTTTTATTTACACATTCTTTGTCTACTCACTGAATATGTATAATATTTTACAGTTTTTAGTGGCATTTATTGTTCTGTCAATCTGGATGCTTTTCAGTCCACAATATTTTCTTTATAGTGGAAAAAGGTTCTTTAGACTGTTAAAATGTTCTTAACACTAAGAAAAATAGTTTTAAGAACTGTTCACTGAAAGGTTCTTTGCAGAACCAATAGTTCTTCAATGGCATCGCTGCTAAAAGCCACTTTTGGAAACTTCATTTTTGGCAAGGAGGAGACTAATTTCATTATATTTATATGTTAAGTATCAAATAAAAGTAGAGGATCACTTTTATAAGTTGGCCATAGAGTGAATAAATAATAATAATAATAAAAAAGTGGTTACGTGACAATGTAAGACAATGCTGCGTTATTGAGAAATACATGAACATTTAGGTTTTCAAACAACAATATGAGCATAAATTAGTTGTTTGTATTAAAACAAATATATTACTAATGCATTTTAGAGTCTTATTTTGCTGCACATTATTCACAGCTCATCCTGAAGTGTTTGACACAGTTTGCCCCACAGCTGCCATTTTGGGCAAAAGCTTAATTTAATAATTAATGGCCAATATTAAGACAAAAATGACAGGGGTTTATAAATGAAGAATTTGCCATCATTCACTCCAAAAAAAAAAAAAAAAAAAAAAA